ACGACGATGGACAACAATGTTGTCTCCTATGCATCGAGGAAACAAGAAATCAATGCTCAGAGCACATGTGAAGCTGAGTACGTTGCAATGGCTGAAGCTACAAAGGACTTGCTGTGGCTTGCAGGGCTCTGCCGAGAACTAGTGTGGAAACATGCACTACCTGTACTACTCGGAGATAATCAGGGAGCCATCTCTCTAACGACTAAACCCGGCAAGCACAGCAAGCAAAAACACATTGACAACAAATACCACATGGTGCGGCGGAACGTGGAACTAAAACGGATCATTACGCAACACATCGGGACGGAGGACATGGTGGCGGACATCATGACCAAACCACTTGCTGTGGTCAAGTTCTCCCGATTCCGAAAGATGCTGAAGGTACTGCCTATCGTGGCAGACAGTGACATGGCCGCCACTGTAAATGAAAAGGCTACATCTGCGTCAACTGCGATGCATGATACCTTGACTGCGTCACCTGCGATGCGGTCAAGAACGACGGATTAGACATTACTGACGACGATGACATGTAGTGTGCCTGTGTGCCAACTGAAAGAACCAGTTTCGTGTGGCTGTACCACAACACTAGCATGCAATCAACTGCGCTGGACTACGGACATGTGCGATACGAGTGGGAGACTATGCAGCTAGCAAATTACGGTGGTGGCTATCGTACGACTATTCTTAGTGGTGTGTGTACGGATGAAGCGATGTGATCGCGTCGATTCGGCACTGCATCGCCGAGATCAAGTGGGAGTGTGAGATGCTATCCTGCTACTGTGAGATGCTACTTGCTACGGTCTGCCAGTGTCCAGTGCCAGACGTCATTGCCACAGCCCAAGACACTGGCAATACCAGTACTACCGATCCAACCTACAATCCTACGCGTGTCTATGCATGTACTGCATCCCGGCGTACCGGTCTGCAACGCGCTCACGTGCGAGCGGCGTGCGGAAGATACCAAGGACTGTATGAAGGACGGCATTGGTGGCGGTGAGCAACTGCAACTGCGTTGCAGGTGATGGTGAACTACTTAGCTTTCTATAGACTATCTTAGACTGAGTATGTGCTAATCTAACTTTGCGGAACATGGAGGTTCAGGTGCTGGCAGCTCTCACTCTCACAACTGCTTTTGCTGTGCTGCGTGCACAACGAGTGAGAGGCAGCAAGCACCAGAACTCCGTGGTCCTGTCGTGGTACTTTGCCCGGCACTCACGTGTCTTACATTCTATTCCTACTTGCTCTACACCTACTGCCCTACAAGTCTGTGCTTATGGCACCTACTTTACGTAGTGATAGAAGGTCGGAGAGCCCGGTGACGCGCCATGCGTCATCTCACAGTCTCCGTCGCTTAATGCGAATTGAAGTTGCCCTTCAGTGTGAGGACTGGTCGTGGAATAGGAGATCTGGCGAAGAGCACAGCGGCGTCCTCGACGAGGACGACGTCCAGAGCGGTCGCTGCGAGGACTAAGCTCTCCTCGAGCATCTTGACTGGTGTGTGCTTTGCAAATGTAGTATACACCAAGGACGGATAAGAGCTCGCGTTCGCTCTGCAAAATGCAAACCAACGTGTGCGACAGTGTGATTAGGGTTGTGTGATTGGCGCTAGTCTACAACTCGCACAAGTTCCTGCTGCTACACCACTCTAATTAGGGCATTTAACATGGTGAACCTTGTCATTGGATAGATAAACCGGGAAATTATTGACGCAAAATTGCACACGGCATTAATCACTACCCCTCTGCATCGAGCGCAGCGGCTAGTGCCGGGTGATTGAGCACTCTGTTCATAGCCTGCAGCCGCTTGATCGGATCAAACTCCAGCATTTTGGACAACAGGTCCAGCGTCGCCGCGGAGAGTTGTGTGTCCATTTCCCAAGACCGGAGAGCGCCCCTACAGCCCAATGCCTTAATCGCGTTAAACTCGGGGTCTGCTGGTGATGCGAGCTCCAGTAGAGGCGCGCCCGTCAGCAGCATGAACAGCACGATACCGAGTGACCAGACGTCGGCCGTCACAGGGTCGTAGCTCGCTTCAGCCACGACCTCGGGTGCCACGTACTGTGATTTGCCCACGCAGCCACTGGCACGTCGATCAGCGCGAGTGCTGAGACCAAAGTCACCGATCTTGTGGACGCCGTCACGTGTGACGAATACATTCTCGAGCGAGACGTCGCGATGCGCGATGTTGCAAGTATCGTGCAAGAAGTGGAGCCCACGTGCTAAGTGCTGTACGATTCGCAGTGCATGGGGCTCGCTCAGACGGCTTTCGGGCTGCGTGGCCACGAGATCGGCCAGTAGGTCGCCGCGTGCGCAGTGCTCCATGACCACGAAGACGTGTGAGCGCTGTACGAAGGTGTCAAAGATCTGCACGACGTTGGGGTGGCCTTGCGCGACGCCACGCAGATGTCTGGCGGTCTGCCACTCCTTCCATGGACCCTGCAAGCGACCCGAAGTACCTTCGCGCTGCAGCTGACCGGCGCACTTGACCACCACCGCCTTCCTATGAGCGTCCGTAGAATTCTCGGCGGGGCGACTGTAGATGTGGCCCAGGTAGATCTGCGGCGCGAGACGAGAGCTCACTTTGATGTGGCGGTGTGCATTGGAGTTAGAGTTGGCAGTACGGATAGCGCTCTGTTCTCTGGGGTCGCCACTGCTGCTTCGATTCCTACTGCTGCGTGCGTGGGCCAGAGTAGAAGTCATGGCCTGTTGCGTGGGGAGACTTGGTGGTCGCTGTCAGTAGGTGGTTTGTGGCTTTGGGCGGAAAGAGGAAAAGTGTTGGTGCGAAAGGAGGAATCGATCGAACTTGAAGTAGCGACAACGCTAACGTAGACGGGCCCTTTGTTTTTGCCACGTCGCATGCTGTCACTTAGGGGCAGGTTCTTGATTGAAATTGGCGAATCCGGCCAAAGCACGTCGCCCGCGTCGATTTGATAAAGCCGTGTGCTTCGATCGAAATGACAGCCTTCTTTCCGCACGACACCTCTGCTGCAAGAGCACCTTTCTAGCTCGTTTAGCTGTAGGACTGGCAGGAAAATTAAAGTTATAGGCAGCTGTAGCTAGATCTCGATTGGATATCGTTCTTGGACGTCGCAGATAAGGTGGATTTCTTCCGCCGCTTGAATCTCGCTGGTAAAGACAGCCGCTGCTTGCCGCAGAGCCCCATCCGTGCGTGGAACTGGCAGTTGTTGTCTTTGTTGCAGTTGTTCCAGTGACTTGAGCTCACCAACGGTTGCTATTGGAGATTTGACACTGAAAACGACAACTTATTCGCATTATTTATGACGCCGCTGGAGCTTGATTGGTCTCTGCGCTTGCAGCTTTCGCTCTTCTCCGCTGACGCTGCGTGACGGAGATTCCGATTTTGAGTGCATACATAGGTGGCGTCTACGCTTACACCATCTGCCGGTCCAGTAAACAGATTTCGGTGATCGAAGAAGCCCCCAGATAATTGGTTATTAATTTCTGTCCAATTGAGCACATTTACACTGAGCCACACGATGGCTCTGCAGTTGGCGGCCCGTAGAAATGCTGCGCGTCTCCACCGCGCCTTCTCCGCTGCTTCAGCGCCCGGTCCTCCATCCGCACCGAACTCTAAGCGATGTGTAACCTTGGTGCGCTTTTATCGTCCTCATTACTGCTGCAATGACTTAAATCAGCTGAACCACTCTTGTACCACCATTTTAGTCCATTGACAAGCTCAATGCCCACGGCGACGGCATCGGCACATATACCTCCCAGGACGGTGCGATGATGCAAGTGGTGGTTCCGTTTGCAGCTCCAGGTGACGAGATTCAGGCCAAACTTTGGGATCGCGACGTGCAATCGAGAGATAAATGGGCAACAAGACAACCTCAGGATACCTGGCCGATCTTCGGGCAGCAAGTGGCTCTGTCCAAGCCCAGTGGCCACCGAATACAGCCTCAATGCAGCAAATACTTTGGAATCTGTGGTGGATGCAAACTGCTGCACGTAAGCTACACGCAACAGCTTCGAGAAAAACAGGAGTGGATCCGCGAACTATTTGCTGATCGAGGGCACTCGCCAGACATGAAAATTCGCGACATTCTCGGCGTAGAGACCAAGGAAAACAATGGTGGAGCTTACAGCTACCGGAACAAGATGGAATTCACATGTAGCACAGGTCGCTGGCTACTGGATGGAGACAAACCTACGAGCGATGACAGTGAAGCTCCACGCTATCCGTTTACAGTTGGGATGTTTCCTGTTGCGTCGGTTAGCGCTCGACGGTCCAAGCAAATTCATGGCAAGAGCAAGGCGCGTCGACGTCGTTCTGCTGTGTGGAGTCCTCGAATTTTGTCGCTAAATGAGTGCTTGCTACAAGCTTCAGCTTGCAATCGATTGCTGCAACAGCTGGTGGCAAGATGCGAAGACGTGGGACTACAAGCCTATGATTTCAACACGCACGAAGGCTTTCTGAAACAAATTGTGTTGCGTCGCGGTGTAAATTGGCAAGGCCGCACAGAGATCATGCTGGGCTTGGTCACAACAATGTTCGAAGGAGAACAGAGCGAGCTGCTTCAGAGCATTGTACAAGATCTTGTGCGGGAGCATCAAAGGGAATTACTTACGGAGACCAAAGATGCTCCACAGCTTGTGTCTATTGTTGAAAGCTTGGCCAGGGAAGCTCAACGACACAAACATCGGAAGGATAGCGAACCATTTGAGGATACGAAGACGGAGCGTGTTCTCTACGGCAGCTCTCACTTCGAAGACTCGATCTTGAGCCACAGATTTGAGGTTACTTTCGACTCGTTCTTCCAACCCAACTCGAACCAAGCCAGTGTGCTCTACCGTGAAATCCAACGCATGATGGCAGCTTTACCGAAGAAACCAGTGGTCTGGGATCTCTTCTGTGGTGTGGGCAGTATCGGTATTTGTATGGGAGCTTATGCCGAGAAAGTAGTGGGATTCGAACTAGTCGACGCAGCAGTGGAGCGTGCCAAGGTGAATGCCCGTCTGAATGGCTACTCTGCCGATCACATGCAATTCTTTTGTGTTGACTTGGCCAAAAGCTGGCAAGAAGAGGAGTTTCTCGACAGGATTGCTTCTCACTCGGATGGCGGTTCATCTTCTTCGAATCTACCAGATATAGTGATCGTGGACCCTCCTCGAGCTGGATTGCAAAAAAAGCTGATCAAGATGCTGCGCCGACTAGCCCCACGCCACATTTGCTACGTATCGTGCAACCCCCACTCTCAGGCTCCTGACCTCGAAGCGTTTTGCGCCAAGGTGAAACCTGAAATGGGTGAAGTAGGCACGTACAGAGTGCGATACTTGCAGCCAGTGGATATGCTTCCGCACACTCCGCATATTGAGACGGTCGCGTGGCTCGAGCGGTGCGCTTAGTCACAGTGGGTTTCCATTACTTGAGTAATGCTAGTGACTATAAGTCACCTGTAGTGAAGCTTTGTAGTTAGCCAATGGCTGGCTTCTGGATCCCTGGTACCATTTACAAGGCATCCCGAAGAATGAAGTCACACTTCATGTAGCCTTGGGGTCCTCTTGGTATGTACCCCGTTACAGAAACCCACTATAGTTGGTCCTGTATTTCATTGTACAGCCAATCCCCTCGATGGTAATCTCTAGACCTCCAAACCGGAAACCAAAAGTCACATTCAAACTGCGTTATGCAGCTTTATTAAACTTGGTATTTGTATGTAATGGGATAGGTGTCGCTCGCTCATAAAAAATCGGGATTTGCAAAACTGCGCAGAGCAGCGATTAAACTACCCAAACCTGCATATTGGTAGTAAGGTTTCCACATGTAAATTGCATTATGCAGTATAAAATGAAAACAGTCAGGACGACTCCCGAAAACATAGGAACAGAACTAGCTCAGTCTACAGCTCTCATTTTTAATTTTTTGAAAACTGAAACTTCCTTTAAAAAATCCTATACAAAAGTTGGTGTGTCACCCCTATCAAGTAACGCAAGCAAATGACACGAGACTGTTTGTTTTCTGGTCTATACAAATTCGAAGAGTGCTATATATGTGGACACCACAGCTGTTTGAACACGGCTCGACTGGAGCAGAAACAGGAGCCTTGTGATGCACTTCGAGATGAGCTTACACGAGAACAGACATTCGATGCTACACAGCTGTGGATCAAAACTTACGTGGTTTGACTTATCCTGAATATTATGCACCTTAAAGACAAAAAGATATGCAGGGTAGAAGTTACGTTGTTATTCGTCGCCTCTTGGAAGGTGCTGGCGTTGCAGGAGTACCCGGAGTCAATGGAGTACTAGGTGTTTCAGCCGGTTTCTGGTGCATACGAATCCCTTTGCCATTTTCGAAAAGAATCAGCTTTCCGTTCATCCACTCCTTGTGCCACACATCACAACATGTCATGGCGACCCCACGCACTTGTCGGCGCGCCCGCATGCAGAGGTAGACTGGCCCTTTGTCGCTACCGTCATCACAATAGTATGTAGTTGTTGATGCTCGCTGGGTGTCTGTTTGAAGCCGCGAGTACACCTTTCATGTCCTTTGCCGTCTTTTCCCTTGTGTTCCTTCGTTTTTCCATTCATCTACTTGACGGGCAGCGTGCCCAATTGACTGGTTTGCACCGCCAGGGACCGGTACATATGCAGGCCTGGCTTGGGGTGGCTGAATGCCGAATGTATTGGACTCATACATGTCTGTTGCTTGGAGGCGACACAGCTGAAGGTGGAGTTTCTTCATGTACTTCACGTGGGTAAGTGGCCGTGACTGCTTGTTCTTCTGAAAGGCCTTATGGACTATGTATCCATTTACATTACTCAAGTCAATGAGCCCCAGTGCCAACGACTTATAGTATTTTCTAAAACCGAGTGCACGCTGGAGAGAATAACGCTGCAATCTCAGCTGGTCATGGACATCCACGCCACCCATGCTTGATAATCGTTGATGACTCTGGGGCATGGCACTTCCTCTTGCGTGGGACCATTCTGTCGCACCACCCAATCCAGTTCAAGGCTTCCTCACGTGCTGAGAAAGTGTACAGGACGAGAATCCCACCAACATATTGCTGACATATTTGGCACGAGCTTAGAAGTAGCCACCTTCAACGAACCATGCGTAATCCCGGGTGGACGAGTCTTCTTCTTCTCGACGACACCTTCGCACTATCTCAAGTGGTTAGCCACGATGGTTCCCACGCAGTAAAACCCCATTAGCAGCAGCTGAATAGCTAAAGCCACAGAAGTATAGAACCGGTCGATGACGACTAGGCGCATTACCTGCTTTCTAGCATCCGGGCCAAATGCAGCAAGCAGGTTTCTGACAACAGCAGCAGGGCCTGATTTCATGTCGGGCTTGTGGGCGTCGCTAGCGTGCTGTTTCTTACCGCAATATACTTCAGCACACAAGACACAAAAATGTCAGACAAAACTGCATAATACACGATAGTAAAAAAACCGCTTAAAAAATGGGACGTGATGCAGTACGCTGTAACTGCGCTGCATAGCATGAAGAGCTTGGTGCCCCACTTGTGGGACTTGTCCTTCATGTAAATGCGCATCTTATTGAAGGATGACCGACTGGGTAAGTTAGCTTCGAACGTCAAGTGTGATGGCGCAACGTATCCACGAAGAAAGGTGCGCTGCAAGACGTCTACCAGCTTGCGGATCTTCCAGGCGCGATCTGTTTCAGCCCTGGGGTCGTTGTTTGAGTTGAAATGAAGATTGCGTGAAATTTCCATGAATTGGTCTCTAGACAGCACTAAGCCGAAACACCCTCGTGATATAGCGCCCTCATCCGCTGTCTTCCAGTGATTAGCAAGTTTTTCTCTGTCCGGAGCAATTGTTCTTGCCACCAATGGTCCAACAAACTGGCACAGTTCGTGTGGTAAGATAGTCTTCATGCCTTCCAGCTCGTGCTGATTATCTCATTTTGTCTTTCTTGGTAACTGCGGGTTCAACCTCCGCTTCTGGCGATATCGCTGAAATGTTTCGTCAATACGACGTGGTAGCATCTCCCGGTGATACTCCGTCGAGCAAGCAGCAATGTGCTGCCACAATACAACATGGAGAAAGTAAAAGAAGCGTCCAATTGGAGAGTCTCCTCTGAGCAAAACGTCTGCAGTTGGACTCGAGTACCCTTGGCGAAGGCCAGGATAGCTTAAAGTATTGTCGACGGGGTCGTACGGGCCTGCATGGACTCACCAGTATCAGGTTCAATGACATCCTCCCAGCCAATAGCGGACATCTCACGCAGGACAGCGTTCTTTAGGTTTCTAGCGAGAACTTCATCCTCTCCACCAAAACTATCAAGAAAGTTTTTCGCGAAATGAACCTCTGCAGTGATTTCGGCTTCTGTCGCGACCCGATAATCACCAATGTCGTAAGATGCACAATAATTTGTCGCCTCTTCATCCTTTACACACTCTCCAGTCTCCATATCATCGACTTCCGCCTCATCACCCGAATCCAACTTTCCAAACTGATGTTCAATGGCGTGATCAATAACCACGTTCAAATCATCGGTGCTATTGGCAAGCAGCTCGCTACCAAGAGCAAAATCTTCTTCGGCTTCATTAGCATCATCTAAAGAACAGCACATAATTAAATGTCTGTATTCAGATTAACATACATCATACTATGCAGTATATATTTCAGCGTAATATGCAGAGTACTTTTGAGTACATTATACTGCAATGTATTCAGCATAGCATGCAGTATACAATGCAGCATACCTTTTCTGATTGGAGTTTGTGCTGGATGTGTGGAGTTGCTGTCGCTGATATTATCAGATTCTGCTGCTTCTTCTGATGAACAGTCGGCGTCTTGAACGTGTGGTGACGGCGGGATGAGCGGCGACCTTGGCTGGGTACTTCTAAGTGGGCGTTTGTCATATGACCTGGAGTATTCATCAAAGAGCGACGCGTCGGCGCTCGCTGTGATGGTGACTGTGGCCTGGTAGTAGGCACGTACGGGGACAGGAGGCACACCGTTAGTTGGCTGGCTGGTGGGGACTCGTTGAGAATTAGCCTGAGCTCGAGTTCTTGCTTCTGCGGTTTCGATATCAGCAGCGTAGTTTTCACGTACGATAGCTGCGGCAGCAGCTAGTTGATCATCTCCAGGAGCACTGGGTTGGACGCCTACCGCATAACGTCGCAGTCCTACAAGCAACAAACTTGGTATTATACATAGCAACGAGCTATTCAGCTGCAAGTAATACACACACCTTTTGCGTAATGCTTCGATACTGCTTGTTCGCAACGGAGGTAATCGACGTCTTCGCTCCCCTGCACGTTCTTACCGGGAGGCATATAAAAGTAGCGGTCATCAAAACTGCGGCCGGAGGTGGCTTTCGTGTCCACCCGTACTTCTTCAGCTCTCTCCACACGGACTTGAAAGATATGTCGCGTGCGGTAACTTCGCAGTCTCGCGGCACTTTTCCTTGGACTCTCATCATCCTCTTGCGTCTTCGGTCCTCGGGGCGTAAAATCTCGAATGAGAGACATTTGGAAAAAGGCGGCGATCGTCGTTGGCTGTGCACCACTCACTGAGTGAAATCAGTCCGTTACCTCCGGTAGGTAATACAAATCATCTAGATTACGATAATATCTCACAAACCTCGCAAAGTTGATATTTAGATTTAGACAAATGTTGCCCCGTTTAACCTCTTGAGAGAAAAAGACCCACACAGAAACAGGCATTCTGGTTGTCTAAAAATTTGTATGCCTTGTGGCGAGCGAAAAGACATGTCTTACAAACTTTAAGTCTAAAAGTCGTTAAACTGAATATATTCAGTTTAACGAAAATAATAATCCTGCACCCGGTTTCGAAAGGTTAATACCAATCAATAAATATAAGGTTACCAATGACCAGCAGTATTTCCCTTTCATACCCTTAGTAGTAAAAGGGATACAACGCCAGGCAATTATTTTTAGTATTGAGTACTTAACTATATGCAACTCCCAATTGTCCGCCGGAAGGTCAACATAAAATAGTAGCGTATATTTTCACCATTGTTTTCGGCCATTATCACAATGACCTCGTACGGTACTCGCTAAAAAAATCCGTCGACGAGAGCCAGTATCACCCCCACGAACGAAATATTTTAACAACCCGGCGCTCTGTCAACAGCAACTCAGTCGCAAGATGAATGTGGTGGCTGCTGAGTAAACGCGAGGAGATAATCGGCAGCAATTAGTATGAATTACCATTTTGCGCGTGGGATGGAAAACGCAGATCCGTTATTGGGGTACATCCCGCGAAAGGAATCCCCTTCAATATGAATAAAATACGCTATGAATACGGAGTGAACTGTCTGTAATCGGACCTACTTCTCCGGTCCATTACTGAGCTAAGCGTTTACTAAACTTGCTATAACTTTCGCTCTACCAGCTAAATGTAGTTGTTACAAGTTTCACTGTTAAGCTCTTTATTTGTGCTACCCCGAATCATGTTTTTAGCAAGGCTACTTCCCGACAAAAGCGTTAATAACCTCATTTAAACTATCACTACATCGACGGCTGCATCGTCAAGTATAACCAGAATCAAACTTAAAAATACCCTTATTACTGCGATATATTACTAAAAGCAATCTGATTCATAATCGTTTCAAAATTAGCCAATCAACTTGACATACAAATCGTCAAATGATGCTTTTTTTATCATTATATATAAGAAAAAGGCCATCGACCTATCAAACAGGTTTACTACATGTATTAACAAAACCTTAAAGGGGTTAACCCCTTGAAACCGGTTCCTTAAAAACAAATTAGGCATTCCTGCTGAACCTGCTCACTACGGTCCACTAAATGGCGTTCATTTCACATACGGACGGTCTTATACTTGTACATTTGGCTATTCTGCTCTTTTATCTGGCAATTGAGAGAAAATTCCAAAAATCCCAAAAATATTGCGTCACAGCTCGTTCAGCTCAATATTAAAGGTAGCCTGCCATGAGGTGCTATTTCAAGGTGTTATTGCAACTAGGGCGAGCATATGTTAAATCAGAATCTCGGATTTCGTGCTCAACTCGATCCCGACAGTGATGTTCTCGCTGTCGTTTGCTGATTATACACTTTTAAACAAGTACAATGCGAGGACAAAGCTGGTAAGGAGCCGCAAGCATACCAACTTATTATCCTCCACTTGCTCGTTTTGGTTAGATTTTGTACCAGCAGCCAAGACTGAAGACAGTCTGTTAATTCTCAGACAGTACCTACTACATTTCAGGTTCGTTCTTCCCACCGCAGGAGTTCGATACAACCACCCCAGAGCCGACTTGCGCATAGGACCGGGCAAATCTCAGTTCAAAACACCCAACGCCTGAGTTCAATACACACAGGTGTCTCTTTTATTTTTTTGCCAATTACTTCGAAAGTAACAGCATTTGTCATTTCGAAACCATTCGAGAATTCGAGACCATTCCACCCAAGCCCGCGCAGTCTCCACCACAACGCCGTTGTGAGCTGCTACCAATCGCCAGTTCTCATCCTCCTTCGCTGCCCCGAGGACACGTGCACGAACGTCTTCAGGGTAAGTGCTACCTATTCTGCCAAAACGAAAAGGGCGCGAGGCGAAGCGATGAATGGATGGATGCCTTTGAGTTCTCGAATGGTTTTGAAATGACAAAAGTTGGTACTTTCGCAGTAATTGGCAAAAAAATAAAAGAGACACCTGTGTGTATTGAACTCAGGCGTTGGGTGTTTTGAACTGAGATTTGCCCGGTCCTATGTGCAAGTCGGCTCTGGGGTGGTTGTATCGAACTCCTGCGGTGGGAAGAACGAACCTGAAATGGTGTAGTAGATACGGATCGGGTGTTTCACTCTTCGTATTTCGATGTATTGTCCACATTTACCCGCCGTTCAAACAGGTATTAGTTTCCGTGAATTATTCGTGCAACTTTTAATAAAAAAAGTGTAAACTGCCAATAAAAAAGGAGTGCATAACCCCTCCAGTCCGGCTTGCTGCATAATGCAGATTAGACCCTTTTCATATCCAGCATAATGCTGGAAAAGGCCATTTTAGTCTTGAAAATTGTAAACCAGTTTTTTTGCCCATCCTACATACTTAGATCAAGTCAACCAAAAGTGACGAAATTGACCAAGATCACCATATGTAGGGCTGGGTTTAGCACAGGTGACATAGAACATTTTTCAAAAACATATTTTTTAGAGCTGGACATTGAATGATAAAGGTTATGTCTGAGCGTTTCCAGCCACCAGTCATTCGGAATTTTTCGTCGCAGAGCACAGAAGCAGAAGGGATGGTCGCGACAGTCGGTAAAGTTGCTCCCAAGCCTCCAGGCCTGACGTGGACAAGGATTTGGCGCGAACTCCATAGTGAGGGATGGAAGGTGAAGAAGCCAACGAGGGGAAACCTTGAGACGCAGCTCCGCTACGTACGACCAGACGGCAACCCGAGCGGATAGTCTGGTGTGGGCTACTTTCTTGAGGAGGATGCAGTGCTTGACTACTACATTTACGGCATGGCTCTTGCTCTACTTTACACGGACTGTGCTTACATATATAAATGAATGCAGATCACATACGGCCGAGACCTGATACGCATATGCAGGATACGGCAACGATGCAGACAGTTTCTGGAGCGCATATGCAGTAATAAGCAGCGTCCTTATCGGACAAGAACGATCCGTGCGTTTCCTGGCAGTCGAACAGTCGCTCTGGCTTCACAGTCCTCTCCTTATTGACTCTAAGGCACTTGGGTGACAACCTCGATGTATTGACTTTGTTTTACGTTGCCGGTTTCTCTTACGCTGTCACCAGACCGGCAACCGCGCTCTCTCTTGGACGGATTGCTTCGCAGCTCACCGCCTTGTTCACGCTTTCGACTTGTGCGTTCGTCGGCGCAAATCTCACACTACTTCTTCCCTACTGACGCGACCCCTTCATAACTGCGATTGTGCGGCTGTAGTGGCCTTTCAGCAAAGCCACCAGCATCTCTGTCGTTGATATACTCTTTCTTGTCCTTCCTCTGATTGGCCGGGCTCCTTGCCGGCATGCAAGCCGTTCACCAGCTGCATCCACCGTCAGAGGGCGTATAGCTGACGGTATACTGTCCCTTGAACCTTTCTGTACCTGCTGTGCTTGATCTTACCCGTAACCGTTGACGTCCGCTTCTCGTAGCCTTCGTCACCCGGGCCCACATGGCACACTCATCATCCCACGCAGGACCCCTTCAAATTGTTCTTGCTTACTCTCTCCCCCTTGACTCACCATCGTCCTCGATAAAGTGTCATAGTCATCATGTTGAGTGTTGCCATCGTATGTCCCGGCTACGTAGTCCTCTCGACGGCTCTCACCACGCACGAGCCCTTCTTTCCAGAGTCGTTCAATGGCTAATCCATATCCTCGGCCGTCAGGTCGATGACCCAGTCGTTCAATCTCGAATTCCAGCACGTAACGGCCTGAGCGTGCCCGATATCTGCTTCGACGGCATTCTCCGACCTTTTCGCGCGACGTCGTGAACAACCCGCCGGAATTGGCGACTGCCAGGCTGTCAACCCCACGTCGCCCTCTCGCTGCGAACACATAGATATGCTCCGCTTCCGTTCCTGGCTCTCTGGCGCGTCGCTCGTCTGCCGTTCCGCCGCGGGTTGCGACGGCTGTGGTCCCGTGTTCGGGCGCATGGAGTTGCTTACCATCATCGATGGCGTCACCTTGGCTGCCGTCGCAGGTGGCGGCACCTTGCTCTGGAGTTCGGCCAACGTCACTTGCCCTTCGTTCTTGATCACCAGGTGTGTTTGTCGCAGGATATGGTGCTCTCCGTAGCTGCTTCCTTGTCCTGGCCGCGATACCTTCCTTAGTCCCGGACCCCTTTTTGTCATTTGTAGCCAATGCTTCTGACGTAGTTCGCGCTGTCCTAGGTGTCTTGACCAGCTGGAAGTGCCCTTGTCCACCGTCGCCACTGCTCGGTGTTTCAGCTTCGCCAGCTGAGCGTCGCCTCTTGACCTCCGATCGCGAAGTGGGGTGTTGCTCATTGCCAGACGGATGGTCGCCGTACTTGAGGCGGTTCGCCTCGTGGTGCCGCAACCGGCAACGGACACGCGGCCGTTTCACCGTCCCCAGCACCCGTTATCTCCGCCAGATTCTCACCGTCATCTTTGTTAATATAGTCTGGCTCGTCAACAGTAGTTGCTTCTCGATTCTTGCTACCGGCTCCAACCGGTTGATCACCAGCCCCTTCTGCCTCCTCATCCAAGTCCAGCGCAATATCCTTGGCCATCTTTTCCAACAGATTGGTCGGGTAGAAGTAAGGTAGTAAGAACGAACAGTGCGTAACTAATTCAGCACCGTTCTCCAACATTAGCACGCGATAGTTGTCATAGCCAGCAGCCTCCACGACCTTCGCCGGCCCTCTCCACCGGTGCCGGAATTTAGTGATTCTCGGTCCCGTCGACGGACGATAGATACACACTAGTTGGCCTGGCATGTAAGACGCTTTTTGTTTCACGCGTCGTTGATTATAATAGATGGCTTGCCTGGCTTGTTCGCGTTCAAGTGCTTCCTTTGCCAATGCGCGCGCCTTCTTAAGATCATCGATCAGGAGCTCATGATAGGCTTCTATTGACTTGTGTGGTTGTGCTAGTCGGTTTTGCCTGAGTAGTTCACCAGGGGTGCGTAGTTTCCTCCTAGTGTGTGCAAGATACGTGTAGATAAAGTTTGGTACACAGATACATACAGTAGATACACACTTTTCAACTGTAGGCATACAACATGCAACAACCTCTGACATATTATCAAAGATCATCATCTTCGCTATCGGCATCCTGAACATCTAACTGATCTGGAATGGAATCCAGGTCGCTAGTATCGTCGAACAAGTCGATATCATCCAGTTCTTCACCAAAGTAGTCGTACGTGTCCACTGAGTCGAGTAGGCTGCTGTTGATGTAGTTGAACGCCAGCTTTTCCATTGTGACAGCATTCATTCGGTTCCGTCGCTTCGACCACAGAAAGGAGTACACACGCCACACTCGTTCTGCAGCAGCCGAGGACGTTGGTACACTCAAAACTTTGATGGCAATTGGCGCCAGCAATGGAAACATCATGCGTCCGCAATGGACCCAGTACTCCAGTCCTGGCAACCTCGTGTACTTTTCGTAAAGGTCGCTCGGGGAGTTGAGCTCGAGAAGAATGTATGCGGATAGCTCATCGTTGCAGGTTTTCTCCAGATTTGGATTCGTGTAAAACAATGGTATGTAGTCGCGCAACTGCTCTGTCGTGTCCATCTTGTCTGTTGCGTCCCACGGCATGGTCTGGGATTTGGGTGTGAGAAGATATGCACACCCCATCGAAAAGGTATGCACGAAGCACCAGCGTTTAAGGACGATGTCCTTCAAACGAATTCCGATATCATCGCCATGCCAGAGCGACGCCTTTGTAACCCATGTATCTTTTAGACGGATGAAGCAGTAGTACACTTGAAAGAGATCTCCTCCATCCTTTTCGAGCTTTCCAATCTGCTTCGACGGAAAACTGAGTAACCTTTTTAAGTGCAACAGCTTGCGCCAGAATGCGCCCGAGTTGGCAATCCGTCGGAATGTGTTCACGGCATCCTTGTTCTGTATTTCTTTGAGAATGTGATCACAGCCTGGCTCTGCAAGATTGCGAACAGCCAGCTTCGCCTTGTACAGGTTTTCACAAGCATTGAAGTGGGTATACCACCTCGTCGGGCAAGGTAAAGTGAGACCTTTTTGAATAGTCAAAACGTCACGGAGTCTCTTGAACTCAGCGACGACCAACTTGTGGTCGTTGACAAACTTGACCAGGACGTTCAAGTCGGCAAGGACAGCGGCGAACTCAGGGATTTTGCACACGTCTTTAATCAATAGATTTAAGACATGAGCACCGCATCCATTGGCAAAGATCGTTGGGTATTTCTTCTCAATAATTGCCCACGCTCCGCGCATGTTGGGGGCGTTGTCAGTGACCACCGAGAGACAGCGATCTGGACCAAATTCCTCTATCACTTCCAAAATACCGGCAGCTATGTTCTTCGAGGTTTGCACAACTCCACCTGTGCTTACTGATTTCAGGAAAAATGGCTTGAAGCCTGGAACAATGACGACGTAATTAACGATATGCTCGTTTGAGTCGTTTGACCACCCATCGCTGACAATTGAGAACCACTTTGCTGACCGAATGGCTTCTCTTACACGCGACAACAGTTTGTTGTAGGTCGAATTGAGATGTTTTCCAGCAATCGAACGCGCCGATGGCATGATTTCAACGTAGGATGGCCGTAGAAGTCGAATGACTTTCTTCATGGCTTCTGAATCTATGACTCGAAATGAAATCCCAGTACGGAATACCAGATCTGCAATTGCAGCGTCGATATGAGCGGCATCAGCTTTTGAGATGGCGTCCAGAAAATTAGCCGTCGTCTGGAGGAAGAGGCGTTTCTTATGCGGACTCGCAGGACGAACGTGAGTTGTAGCACGCTTGGTGCCAACCGACACAACAACTCTGCCGGCACGAAGATGTTTCAGGTCCATGAACAGGCCTTTTTCGATTTCACTTATCCCTTCACAGTTGTTTGAGACCTTGTGTGAAATGACGCGCTCTCGCACCCACGGAACATCGCGTCGACAAACGCGACACTTGCCTTTCTTGACGCCTGATTTTGACAAGTATGAGTTGATGTCGAACTGCAGAGGGTCGGGTGTTCTTCTGGCGGATAACATCGTGTCGATCGCGTTAATGAAACTGGACGGCGGAGATACCATTGATGAACACGTTGTCGTAAGATGGCGCTGGAAGAAGGGTAGACTTGTACTGTAGGGTATTGGGCAGAGCAGATCGAAGAACGGCGCTTCGGAGAGTAAACACCATGGTATAGACATCTTGGTGAAGCTCGCTATAAGTGAACAAAGTCGTCTTTAAATGTGCTATCCCGCAATACTCAAGCGCGCTTCAGATAACCTACTTATAGATGAAGCATGTCGACACCTTCAACATCTTATCCATAGCTGAAATCCTACCTGGTTGAAGGAGCTTTGTGTGCAAGATACACGTTTCCGAATTTTAGTACACACATACTTTACGTATTCCTTACGCGTACTCTAATCTACATGTATCTGTAGATGCGCACACTATTTCCTCCTCATCATCAGCTCATTTGGCTGAAACCAGTGCGTGGTGTGCGTACAGGGCCGACGCCAAGAAGTCATCCCAGTCGTCGTGCTTGTCGTCCACGTACAGGCTAATGATCTATTTCCAGGTGCGGTGAAATCGCTTCACCAAGCCGAGTAAATTGGGCCTGTATAGAACTGGGGTGGATTGTTTGGCCTGCATCAACGCCAACAATTCTTCTGTCGGTTTGCTATTAAACTCTGCTGCTCCATTCATCATGACTTCACTCATTGGGCCGAAAACAAACACCACCTTCTCCATCAGAAATTTAGCGATCTCTTTCGTTGTATGTCTTGGCACTGCCACCGCAACCGCATACCTAGTGGTATACTCAACACCGGCGATCACATACCGGTTACCGCGCATTGTCTTCGGCAGGGGTCCAGCCACATCAATTGCCCAGCGGTCACCGACGTCACCCGTTCGAACACTTCGAAAAGGAGGCACTACTGCCTTTGGCCTGGCCTTCCGTGAGCCGCAATCCCGGCAGGCAGAGACCCACTGATACACAGTCTCTTGCATGTGTGGCCACCGGTACATCCGGCTCAATCGTTCGTAAGTAGGTGGACCTCGCAAATGGCCCGCCCAGATACTGTCGTGGGCTTCTTTGAACGCCAGCGGCCAGGAGATAGCGGGCAGCACAATCTTGTCTTCGTTTGTCACTACAATATACGCTAACCCATCTTCACGCACTACAATTCGTTGTCCACGGTACGCTTCTTTCCGTAACAACGTGCGTACCATCACTGACTTTTCCTGTTCGCGCTTGATGTCAACGTCAGTGAACTGCGCTAAGCCCAGCTCCGCCGTCTCCACTCGGTAGGGCTTTACATTGTGCGCCACGGCCACTGCGGCGTCGTCAATCAGGTCATCCATACCTCGTCTCGTCCCTTCTTCTGCTGCAGCCTTTGCGACGTTTTCCCGTTCTTGATCAGTTGTGGCAGTAGAGTCCTTGTGGCTATTTCCGCCACCGTCCAGGACTTGAGCATTCCCAGACACATCATCTAACACACCACTACTGTTGTCCAGCGGCGCGGGCTCCTTGTACTCCTCTTTCGCCTTCATTGCCTGCAGTGCCCCCTCCAAAGCATCTTTAGCGGCCAGTCGAATCCGCTCTCACACCCCATGAACAATAGCAGTGGTCGCCGGGGTTCTTACTCTCAACCCACTGTACTCTTCATCATCGCGACCACCCATCTTCACCCTGTCTTTAATACCGGTTGTAGAGCTGCTCACGTGTACAGATCGTATGGCTGCAATAGAGTCATCTTCGTCCGAAGCGTGTGATTTTCCCTTTGTCTGGCCAGCTCGCTCGTACGTGGCAGCTTTGGTATCCCGATCGCCGGCAATGGTGCCTTCCTCGACTATTGGGTTGCGTGAGAGAGCGTCCGCCGCGCTATTCTCTCTTCCCGGCCGATACTCTATGTCAAAGTCGTATTCTTGAAGGGCAAGGGCCCACCGGTACAGGCGGCCGGCCAGATCCTTGGCCGTCAGTAGCCACCATAGAGCCACGTGGTCCGTCACCACCGTGAATTTTCTACGATACAGATGTGGTCGGAACCGTTTCACAGCCCATATTACTGCCAAGCACTCCAGTTCCGTCACGCCGTACTGCGCTACCGCATGATTGTTCGTTTTTGACGCGAAAGCAATCGGTTGATCCCCATGACCATGGTCTTGCCACAGTACAGCCCCAAGCCCAATTTTGGATGCGTCCGTGATCAACTTGAAGGGCAGCTGGTAATCAGGATAGGTGAGTACAGGCTTCCTAACTAATGGAGACTTAGCCCATTCAAAAGCTTGTTGTTGATCGCTCTCCCACCACCATTCACTGTCCTTCCTCAAGAGATGCGTTAGCGGCGCCATTCGCGATCCGAAATCAGCCATAAATCGGCGATAGTAGCCTGCTAAGGCAACAAAACATCGCACATCCGCGACGTCCGTTGAACCCGGGAAGTCTCGCACGGCTTGCACTAATCGGTCAACAGGACGGATTCCTTCAGGTGACAACTCGTGGCCAAGGTATTCCATCTTGGTCACCGCAAAACTACACTTACTGGCTTTCAAGCTGAGGCCCGATTCTGCGAGGCG